CCTCCTCCTCCTCCTCTTCCTCTTCCTCTTCCTCCTCCTCCTATTCCTATTCCTCCTCCTCCTCCTCCTCCTCCTCCTCCTTCTCCCTCCTCCGCCCACCGTCCCTTCTACGCCCAGGACGGCGGACGGCTGGCCGGACGGGTGGGCTCGGCGGGGCCCTCCAGCTGGTGTTCCTCCTCCCTGGAAGCCGTCTCCAGCCCTCTCTCCTCGAGCTGGACCTCCGCCTCGGGGTCGCCCTCTGCCAGACTGCGAGCACTTCGCTCTATTCGCCCCCCCCCCCCCCCCCCCCCTACAGTCGGAGGGAGGCATGTTATCGAGGTCGGTTCGGGGAGGGTATCCTAATGTTCTTCGTGCTTAGTAAGATGCTCTTGTGCACCCTGGGCATGGAACCCTCTTTTTGTTGTTCTTCCAATTTTTCCGTTTTGGCCGGCGGAGGGTCTCATGTTCTTCAGCGATGTTCTTCTGGCCTGCGGGCGACGACTCCGACCAAGACCACGGAGGGTTCCGGCCTGCCCGCGCTGGCCCTGGGAAGCCCCGCCCCTCGGCGGGCCCCGGCGTGCTCGCGCCCGCCCCCCTCCCGCCTCCTCTCCTCAGGGACACTAGGGGGGGATAGGCACAGGGCACAGGGGGGGATGCACCGACGCCCACTCGCCCATTGATCGCCCCGCCCAGCAACGTAGGGATTCGCTATCGGGGGCCTACCGCCGGTCTGTCGGTGATGCATCGCCGATTCCAGGTCGATGCCCCCCCCTATTCGAAGAAGAAACAACGCATAAACATAAACCTTTGGCGCTCCGCTCGGCTTTCTTGGATCCGCGCCTGGGCCTCCTTGGCGGCGCCTCCGGCGTCGCCCGTGGCGCGCCCCGCGCGCCAGGGACGGGGGCCTGGCGCAGATCCAAGAAGTCCGCGCGGAGTGCCAAAAGTCTTTGTTTATGTCTTCCCTTCTCTTTCTGCGTATGCCAGTCCTCCCCTCCCGCCTCCTCTCGTGGCCCCCGAGGAGGCAGCCCTGCGGGCGCCCGCCTCCGCGGAGGCGGCCGGCGCGACTGAGCGGTGGGTGGAGCTGGAGAACCAGGCGGCCGTGTTGCAGGCGCCCCGCGGTGGCGCAGTCTCGGGCGGTCCTGCGACCGCGTTCGACGGGCCGTCCGAGGCTCGGATGTTGTGGAAAGCGCTTTTTTTGTTTGGTGGTCCCCCTCCTTCTCCTTCTCCTCCCTCCTCCTCCTCCTCCTTCTCCTCCTCCTCTTCCTCCTCCTCCCCCTCCTCATCCCCCTTTTCCTCCGCCTCCTCCTCCTCCTCCTCCGCCTCCTCCTCCTCCTCCTCCTCCTCCTCCTCCTCCTTCTCCTCCTCCTCCTCCCCCTCATCCTCCCTCCAGCACGGTGATGCTTGATGCTTTCAGCTCCCCCCTCGACCAGACCTTTTTCTGCCCAGGCCGAGCCGTCGCAGTCGCTCGCAAGTCAGCTGCAGTTGCTTCCGATGTGCACGCGTTGCGCAAGAGTGCCTATCTGGGGGGGGTCTCTGCACTGGGAGCATGTTTCAAAGGCCCTCTTCGGCGCCTCATCTTTGTCGTGGGGTCGGCGCGACAACAATGCGGTCCGGAGTTTGATTTCTGGCACGCACTGGCCGCAAGCACGATTAGAAGAGTACGGGCGTGCCACCTCAGCTGCATGCAAGCTTTGTGGGAGGAGGTGGACCCTTTTCCACCGATCTTTCAAATGCGACTGCTCAATCGAGCTCCGTTCAGAGGAGCTCCCCCTCTCTCTTGCCGAGGCGGCTGAGAGGGTGCGAGGCCTCGGGGGGGAGGAAGGAGAGATGTTTGCTCGATGCCTCTTCCCCTCCCCCGAACCATGTTTTGGCCGTCGCGAGCCCCCCCCCCCCTGAAAGCTGGACCCGCTTCGTCGGAGCGGTGCCGGGACGGGTATGAGGAGGTGCCACATTTGTTGACGGATCGGCGTTTCACTTTTCTTTCGGAGGCTGCCGACGCGCAGGCTGGGCCGCCGTGCAAGTCGACAGAGCAGGACAGTTTGTCGCCTGCATATGCGGCGTTGTTCCCAGGGGGTGGGGTCCGGACCAGTGGGCTCGGGACGGGGAGTGCGCGTTCCATATGCTGGCGGAGTTCCGCGAGGATCCTGTCACAGGAGGCCCTCTGGGTGCATATAGTGATTCTAGCGGCTCCATCGGCTGCGCCGCGAGCGCTGCCAGAGCGCTCGGCCTCACGAATGATGGGCGCCATCTGTGGGTCTCGTGGCGGCGCAAGCACGGCAGCACGGCGCGAGCGCACCAGGTCAAGGCTCACAAACATTTTGCGGAAGCCTCATCCTGGGAGGAGGAGGAGGAGTTGGAGGAGGAGGAGGAGGAGAAGGTCAAGGCTCACAAGCATCTTGCTGAAGCCTCATCTTGGGTGGATGCTCAGAGGCAACCGTCTGGCCGACGAGTGGGCTAAGAAGGACGCCCTTCTCTGGGGTGTCAAGGAAGAGCAGATTTTTGTTAGTCGAAGCGTGCGAGCGCCGAGTTGACCAGGTGGTTCGATGGCAGTGTAGATTGCACGCTTGGTTGCACGACCGATTCCTGTCAGAAACTGATGGGGTAGGGGGCACTGCTGATGTACAACTTGGTTTGGATATCGGACCGAACCCCGCCGATCCAGCCTTGGATGAGCAATTCGACCGACTGCTGTTGGACCAGGAGGTTGACGGCATCAAAGTTGCGCTTCTGACTGATATCTTATAAATAAATATGTAGCACAAGCCCGTGAAGAGGCAACAATTCAGGAGACTGGAGCTTCGCGGCTGCTGGACGCAGCCTAGGTGAGGTGGGAATGCTGAGTTTGTTGGGAGGCCTTGGAGGCTGAACGAGCACTCGATTGTACAGGCTGCGGTGGAAGTTCGGGAAGGCTCCATCGCCCTCCCCCCAATCCTCTTCTGTATGCAGTGCGGGGCGTCTGTGCACCGTTCTCATAGTCCAGGAGCAGGGTTAGCTGACAAGTGCCTGGGACCTGACCACCCAGGGCTAGCAACCCGAAGGTCCAGGCTCAGGCGGGGGCTGCACCCCAACATGACTCCTCCTCCAATGCTCGGTCGTTCGCTGACTCCCAGCGGAGAGATGCGAGCACTGTGGGAGGAGTGGCTGCGAAGCCCTGGTGGCGCCCCAGCTGGTTCTCATGGCCCGGCTGCTCGGTACGGCCCCAGGGTTCCGGAACTCGACGTTTACCGCATTGCGAGTCTGCATGGTTTTGTTTCACCGGATGCTGCGGTGGAGTGGGCTCGGGGGGAGCGTCGGAGAGAGGCCAGTCCTGACGCCACGGGCCGTGGCGCTCAGCAGCCTGGCGAAGAAGAAGAGAGAGGCTAGCGAAAAAGCGAGGCCTGACGACCCCTCCGACGACACCTGACGGCCAGTGAATGCGCTTGGCCAGTTTTCTCTGCGGCGGGACGCCGCCGTTCGGATCGGTGACATGGGCCGGTTCGAATGTAAGCAGCGGGAGCTGCTCGAAGCCAAGCTGCGCTTAGGCTTTTTGCGCCGGTGGGCGAGGGCACCGACGTGCCGGGTACTTTCACACCTTGCACACCTCCTCCCTCCTCCTCCTCCTCCTCGTCGTCCTCCTCCTCCTCCTCCTCCTCCTCCTCCTCCTCCTCCAGCTCCGGCTCGGTCCGAGGCCGCGCGCCGCGGGCGCCCTGGCGCCGCCATCCTCAATGTCGGCCGTTCTGTGTGTTTGTGATCCTGATCGCGGCTCGCTCCCCTCCGGCCCCCTCCGTCGGCCGCTCTTGCTCTGCCCTTCCTCCCCTCCCGCATGGTGGCACAGTTCGCTCCAACGGTACCCCCGTTTAGGTATAGCCCTCCGCCAGCGCAGTTGCCCTGCCTAGCCGCCGAGGCAAAAGGTGTGTGGCGGCCATCATGGTAGGCGGCGCTCGGACAGGGAGGTCCAGTGCCCGACGCCGAAAGCAAAATGTTGCGTCCCAGGGAGTCTGTGGAGGACTTGTCCCCGATTCTGGGCCTCCCAGATGGGGTCAGAGTAGATGGGGCCGGAGGATCGCGCCGCCGCATCGCTAATGCATCGGCGGTGCGAATCGATGTGGAGCCCGACTTTCTCCGCGCCGACGTCGCCGATGCATCGCCCACGTAGCCGATGCATCGCCGATACAGCGGCAATGGGGCGCGAGCCCCCGACCCCACCTGCTCGGAACCCATCGGGGAGGCCTCTACGGATGCTCCCGGCTCGGCCCCGCGCCCCGAAGCGAACACCTGCTCGCCCCGCGCCTCCTGCCCCCGGCCGCTGCCGGCTCGCTCCTGCGCCCCGGCTGCAGCCCGCTTCTCCGGCTCGGCTCTTGCTCCGTCAGGGCTGGACGGCTCTTCTCCAATCGGTTCGCGGGCATCAAGTAAGAGACGTCGAGGGAAGCCGAGGTAAGTTCAGGCACGTCGAGGCATACTCCGAGCAAGTCGAGAATCGTCCAGAGACATCCAGGTGAGCCTGGAACGAGCCGTGGAAGCTCCAGCGCAAGTCGAGGGACAGCAGGAGTCGTTAAGCCCTTGACGACTTGTCAATGGCGCCGCCGTCATTCGGGCGACGAGGAAGATGAACGGTCACCAATCTTAGCCAGGTCCACCCTGGGCCGAGGCTCGGTGCATTACGCCTCCCCGGCCGGGCCAGCAGGACGCATGCTCTGATCCTGGGCCCAGGATGGTCCAGGCCAGGGCCAGTGCATGTGAGGGGGGGAAGTGGGGAGGAGGAGGAGGAGGAGGAGGAGGAGGAGGAGGAGGAGGAGGAGGAGAAGGGGGAGGAGGAGGAGGAGGAAAAGGAGGAGGAGGAGGAGGAGGAGGAGGAGGAGGAGGAGAAAAGTAGTAGGAGGAGGAGAAAAGGTAGTAGTAGGAGGAGGAGGAGGAGGAGGAGGAGGAGGAGGAGGAGGAGGAGGAGGAGGAGAGCGAGGATTGGAAGTGAGAAGGAGGAGACCTTCTCAGAAGGCGGCGGGATTCCTCAGAGGCTTCGCGCCTTGTGAGAAGCCTTCCGTGCCTTTGCGGTGGACGGCCTCGGAGACTCCTCAGAAGGCGGGGGGACATCCGAGCCTGCCGAGAAGGCCCGCCCCTTCTCACCCCCCCCCCCGGGCTCGCCGCCGAAATGACCAGGGCTGCACTACCGTGCGTGCCGGTCTCGCGCTCTCCCTTGCGCGGGAGGGCGGCGGTGGCTGCGGCTGCGGCGGCCGCGGGAGCGCTGCTGCAGTGACTCCTGGGCAGCGGACGCGGGCGCGCGCCAGGCAGACCGTGACCGACTGGCCCGGGACCTGGAGGAGAGAGCTGCGCCGCTCCGCTGGGGCGGGTGGGACGGTGCTGCCTCGCCTTCGGGATTTGGTTGACGTTGCCGCGGTCTTCCAGGAAATCTCGCTTCACTCGCTCTGGAAGCCGGAGGTCCAGAAATGCGCGCCGGCTCCCCTCATGCCGGAGTGCACAGACTCCGGAGCAGGGCAGATCAGAGGTGTGTTAAGGCGGCTCTTTCGCTCACGATGCCTTGATCGGGTCCAGCGAGCGGGGGGGGGTAGGGAAAGGGGAGGTTACGACATTTGCTCCACGCAGCTGGTCTCGGCCCTGCCGCCGGGCGCTTTCTTCGATGCATGGACGCCTCCAGCGCGGGGCAGGCGACAGGAAAATCAGCTCCGTACGTGAGTTCATTCGCTAACCTTCCTTTGCTATTCTCGCTATCGTCCGTCCCGATTTGAGGGGATCTGTTGCTCCAGAGCGACATGTGCTGCCCTGCGCCGCATCAGGATGATGGAGAACCAGGGGAAGGAGCCGAGGAGAGGCGGGAAGGGGGAGGGGAGGGGAAACGTGTGACTGGAACAGATGTTTACGGCGTCTCCGAATCAAATACCATGTCATTGGTCACGGCATCTCGCTAACTGGTTCCATGCATTTGGAACGCGGGTTATACAAGTGTAGTGTCTTCCCAACTTTTCCAACTCAGTATGACCTGCATGCCCCCGGCGTTCAGGCCCTTCGTGAGCTTGGTCATCCAGCGGACGTGGCCATATTCTTTCATTGCCAATTTGAGTTTTTACACCGCCATTCCTTTTGTTGCCGTATCCTTTTCCGTTCTTCTCGCCATTGCTTGCATCACGTTTGACAATTTTTCCCTTGCCCTTGTCGCCTTTGCCACGTTATTCGAAACGGCGGTTATTCCCAACAGACCCACCACTTTTGTCGTACCGCCACTGCCCTTGCCTTTGGTGTCTGCATTTCTGCCCGCCTTGCTAAGGTGGGGGCGTTCGTTAAGGAACGTGCCCAGGAGGCTTCAGACCTTGGAGGGTTCTTTATCTGATGAGGGCGGCGGTGATACCCATGGCCAATCCACGATTGGCTTTCCACTGGCTTCCAGACCCAGGATTCCTTATCGAATGTTTCCTCATCCAAGGCCGTCACCGTAGCTTTGCCAGTCTTGCCGTGGTCGCCCTTGAGATTCTGGTCCATGCCTCCGTCTCTGTCTTTGCCTTTGTCCCCGCCATGCGCTCCCTTGTCCTTGCCTTTGCCGATTTTGCTCTCCCCCGGCCCCGCGGCCAGGGCGGCATCGCTTTTTGACAGGAGCTGGGCGCAGAAAAGCTTAGTTGGGGGCTGTTTTTCCTCGGTGCCAGTAGCCATATCGGCATCGTTGCCACTTTCTGCGGCGTCCTTCAGTTTGGAGTACATTCTCGAATCGATCACAAGCTCGAGGATGTTCGCTGGGTCTTTCTGAAGGCGTTCTTGTTCGAGCTTGCTTTCCTGATCCTTCTTCTTTGTTATCTCGTCCTACTTCGCCTCCACCTCCTCTGCGATCACAGCGACCGCCTGCTGGCAGAGGGTCTCGGCCCGCTCGGTCACCTCCCGCTCTAGGATAGCAGTGAAGAGCAGTTCGTTGAGGCCGAGGGCCGCCGCCTTGTCGCGTTGAGCCGCCTGATGGCTCATCGTCTTCACCGAGGTGGCGACCGTGTCCTCGGGAGCGGTCTTCCCTGTACGCTCCATCTTCTCCTCAGCGTCTGCCCTCTCCAAGGCCCGCAATTCCGCCGTGCAGGCCCAGTGACTGTGCGCCGTGGCCTCGCGGAAGGTGCAGCCTCGGAGAATCACGATGCTCAGCGCTTGGGTGCTGGAGCTCGTGTCTGGGCAGGGCCCGTCGAGCTCGAGCTGCGTGACTGCAGAAGCGAACAGCCCAGTGCCTGCTGGGCATCGGCCGGGAATCTGGTTGAGGTCGAGCCTCTCGGCGCTCGTCTCGGCCGCCGTCCACTTCCGGAGGTCGCCCTCCAAGAGTTTCCGCACACCATCGAGAGCCGTCTGCAGCTCCTTCGGCACTTTGAAGGGTTTCGTTTCCGCCGCCTGCTGCACGAGGCCGTGGGCAGCGGCCTGCGCTGCGTCAGCGGCCTGTTCTGCCGCTGTGGTCGCCGCCGCTGCCGTCTCCAGCATCGCTTTGGAAGCGTCTTCCAGTCCAGGCGGGGGCGGTGGTGCAGCCTGGGCTGCGCTCTGACCAGCAACGAGTTGTTGTACTAATACTTGCATGGTGTTGGTCATCTCGAATCGATGATCTGCTTGATCATGTTCTCGAGGTTGTGCTCTTTGCTGCCTCCAGCCCCAGCTGCAGGCGTTGATGTAACTGAAGATCGAGGCTGCTCCTTGTCGGCACGTCTTGGCGAACGCTGCCTGGTGCCATCAAGCCCTTCGACGACACTGGAAAACGCCGGGAGACCGCCATCCGCACCTTAAGCCGCACTCTCTCGATGCGCCATGGGCAGACCACCCAAACAAAAGGTGCGAGAGAGGATCGGAGCCTGTTTCGGTCTCGGAGCTTACTCACTGGTTGCGTTGTGAGTTCAGCCTGACGGCCTGCGCATCTTGAAGCTCGAGCCTAAGTGACTACGCAAGTCTGCAGCAGCAGCAGCATCAGCAGCGCCGTGCCCAAAACACCTTTTGCCCCGCTTCCCGCTCCCCGCGGGGCACCCGTTTCTGGAGGTCTCCTGGCGTTTCTGGAGGTCTCTGGATGCATCCATATTCGAGGCTCCCCGAGGCTCCTGAGGCTCGAAAAGAGCTAAAAGCCCCCGGAAGCTAGATCATCGATCCGCCGCTCTCCAGCGACGAGATCTCTTCACACACACTGCCCCTGGCCCAGGAGGGGTATATACACCGCTCGTGGGCCCAGGATGGGCCTGGCCAGGGACAGTGGACGTGGAGAGATCTCGTCGCCCCATGCCCGCTCCCCACGGAGCACAGGAGCTCCGCCACCACAAGGTCGAGCAGACCATCGCGTCCCTCGCCGCGGCCGAGCGCAGCGGCCCCGCAGCCGAGGAGCCCCACGGCTGCCCGCGCGCGCATGCCCGCGCGCAATACCTCCGTCGCACTGCCGGGACAGTTCAGGCAGGTCCGCGCCGCCTCGGCGCGGCGGCGACGCCTCAGTTTCTTGTTGGTCGCTTTGTTATGTGTACACGTGTACACACATGTACACTTGTATGTACACTTGTACATATGTATCGTATGCACACTTGTACGTGCTGCTATAGATGAACACTTGTACACATGTACACTGTACAGTATGTGTACACTTGTGCTGCTACATGTACAGATGTCTCGTATGCACACTTGCACACATACGTATCGTATGCACACGTGTACATCTGTACACTTGTTTGTTATATATACATCTGTATCGCATGTACACTTGTACGTGCTGCTATATACACTTACCTGTGCAAGTGCGCCGGCCGAGACGGCGGTCGAGATTATTCGGGCCGGGGCGTCGCGGCCGGCGTCTCGGAGGAGCGCGCCCCTGTCGGCGCCAGGTCCAGCCCCCGCGATCGCCGCTGCGAAGTGCGCCGACGTCGACAGATTGTCCCCGCACACGCACACAACCATCTATACATATATATATATATATATATATATATACATATGCATATGTATACGCACACACTCACATACACATAACCTTTTTGCACACGTCTAGTCATGCATGCAGATATGTAGAAGTATGCCTGCAGGTACACTGTGGATGAGCCCGCGCTCCTGAAGGACAGCAGTTTTCTCAAGGATCGGGCTCTTGCGTCGCGCGCTCACTGTTCAGGAGTCGCGCTCTCGCCTGGGACTTCATTTCAATGAATGAACGGATCGCTTTCCCGCCTGGGACATCCGCATACATGACTCAAGAACTGCGCTCTCGCTAAGATCTTCCTCGCAATCCGTAAGAGCTTCGACCTCTGCTGCTGGCCTTCCTCTCTATGATCGCGGGCTATATCAGAGCTGGATTGGGGTGCCTGGGTGCTTTCTTGAAGCGGTCTTGGGACATCATGCGGGGGAAACGGGCGACTAGCATAATGTATTTAGATGCTGAAGCTCTTGTTGGGCGTATTGCTGCCTTCATAGAGCGTTTGTCTCACGTTGTGTATCGGAGGAACCAGCCGCTGAGGCTGCGGATGAGACGCCCGAAAGCGCACTGGCTTCTGTGCCACCTCCACCGGCAGACACACAGACACACAGACACAGACACAGACACACAGACACACATACACACGGACACACAGACACACAGACACAGATACACAGTCCCACAGACACACAGCACACAGACACTGACACACAGAAATATAGACGCACACGCAACATACAGCACACGAACCAGACACAACACACACAGCACACACCACACAACACATAACACACAACACACAACACACACAACAGACACAACACACAACACATAAGACACACACAACACACAACACACAACACACAGCACACACAACACACGCGCAACACACAACACCACACACCACACACCACACAACACACACCACACGACACACAACATCCACACAGCACACTACACACAACACACGCAACACACAACGCCCACAACACACAACACACTCAACGCAGAACACACAACACACAACACACACACACGACACACACACACAGCGCACACGCACGCAGGCACGCACGCACGCACACGCAGCATACACAGCGCATACACACATCCACGTACACACACACTGCAGCATGTCGAGGCTACGGCCCCACTCACCCGTTCTCACGAGTGCGGGGCACTCGCCCGCACTGGTGGATCGTGGTTTCGTTCCTAGGCGGGAGCAACAACAATCAGAGGAGGGGGGGAGGGAGGAAGAGGGAAGTGGGTCTTGGATTTCTATAAATGCTCGAATCCTCTCGCTGGCCTCGCAGGACGTAGACGGGAAGTGCTTGTGCCGTGCTGCCCCATCATGCGCCTTGTGCCCGTCGTCGGCCGTACAGCCAAGGACACCGTCGGAGCTCAAGTCCAAAAAGCTGTTCGACTCACCGTGGCTGGGCGGAATCGCCTGGTGTGAGAGAATTGCGACACCAGGAGCGTAGGGTCTTCGACCTTTGAGATTCCCTGAAGCTCGAGCTCGCCGTCTCGCCTGGTTGGTGTTGGCCCTCGCCTGCGGCGGGTACCGGCCGTGCGATGGCCCTTCGACGAGCGCGCCTCGCGTCGCGGCTGGTGGCCGCGCTGCTGCTGCATCAGCTGCCGCTCGTCGCACACTGCGGCGAGCACTGGGTCAAGTTCCCAGACCTGCCGCCGGCTCAAGACGGCCCGCTGAATCGAGGGAAGAAACACGACGGCCATGACTCGAAGAAGGGCAAACGGTATAAATATAACCTTTTGGAGCTCCGCGCAGATTTCTTGGATCGGCGCTGTGCCTCCGCGGCGGCGCCTCCAGCGCCGCCCCTGGCGCGCTCGGTGGTCCAGCGCAGCTCCAAGAATTCCGCGCGGACCTCCGACAGTTTATATGTTTATGCCTTGTTTTCTTTCTCTAATGACCAAGATGTCGCGAGATTTGTTCGACGCCGATCTTGGTCATAGTTCATGCGCCTCCGATTCGCGAGGACGATCCACACGATGACCGAGGTCGACATCGACGTTTCTGTGCTCAGTCTTGATCATGGTCCTCGCTTTCCCTCCCTCCACGGAAGGCGCCGCCGAAGGCGCCTTCGGAGGCGCCGCCAGAGGCGCCGCCAGTGGGCGACAACGGAGAGCGGCGGAGTGTGGCGGCCGTAGACCCCGCCAACGACCCGAACTGCGACTACAGGACTGGCGAGGGCTGCAGGGGCAGGGTCCGGAAGGTGATCAGCAGCTACGCCAAGAAGAGCCCCGACGAGCTGGCGGCCGAGATCTCCGAGCTGCGGAAGTCGGGCACGAGGAAGAAGCGCCTGGAGGTCCTGCAGAGGCACCACGCGGCCCGGGAGGAGCTGTAGGCGCTCCGCTGGAAGCGCCGCGGCGCTCTCGCGCGCGGCCGCGCCCGCGGGCGAGTCCGGGGGATCGGCAGGCCGCTGGCCGTGTGGTGAGCAGGGCGCCGTCCAGGGCCTCGCGGGCTCCTCCTCCGCCTCCTCCTCCTCCTCGTCGTCGTCCTCCTCCTCCTCCTCCTCCTCCTCCGCCTCCTTCTCCTCCTCCTCCGCCTCCTCCTCCTCCTCCGCCTCCTCCTCCTCCTCCTCCTCCTCTTCCTCCCCCCTCCTCCTCTTTCTCCTCCTTCTCCTCCTCTTCTCCCCTCCTCCTCCTCTCCTCCTCCTCCTCCCTCCTCCTCTTTCTCCTCCTCCTCCTCCTCCCTCCCTTCTCTCCTCCTCTCCTCCTCTCCTCCTCCTCCTCCTTCTCGTCTTCCCTCCTCTCCTCCTTCCTCCTCCTCCTCCTCCTCCTCCTCATCTCCTCCTCCTCCTCCTCCTCCTTGGTCTTTATCCTCCCCCTCCTCCCTCCTCATCCTCCCTCCCTATCTTCCTCCTCGGCGGCGACCGAGGGTGCCTCTGATAATCATCGGAGTGCGCCGAGATCTGGCGGTGGTGGAGCTGTGTGCTCCGTGGCCACCCGGCGGTTTCTTTTGTGCCAGCGCTTAGCCATGCATTGTGCCGGGGCCTCCCATACAGTGGGACCCCATGCCAAGAAACACCCTGCTTGCCTCCAGGGTGCCCCAGGTTTCTTGCCTTTCGATGGGTTTGCCATGGACAACGTGACGCTCCCACACCAAAATTCAATGGACGTCCTGGGTTCTTAGGGTTGGGTTTCTTGTGGAAGGTTTCTTATGGTCGAGCTCCTACTGTATATCATATAAGTGGGAACCGGGTCCTCAGACCCCAGGCCGGCGCACTTTTTCAAACATCCCCTCCCCCTGGGAAGCCCTTTTAGTCCTGGCGGGGTCCGACTCTTTCCAGGGCGCTTCCGGGCTGGGCCCGCTGTTGGGGGGCCACCAAACTGGCCTCAGAGCGAGCAGACAGCCGTCCCGACGGCCCGCGACTGCCCCGAGCTACCCCGAAGATTGCCTCCAGGGATCTTAGACGGCCTCAGAAGCTTTGTAAACGACCCAAGAGGCCCCCCAAACGGCCCAACAGGGCTCCAAGAGGACCCCGACGAGTGCCCCGAGAGGCCCAAACCTTTTCGGGCTACCAGCGCTCCAAGATGGCTCAAGAGGCGCCCCAGACTTCCCCGAGAAGGCCCGAGATGCTCAGAAGAAATCCCCAAGACGGTGTCAGAGGCCCCCGTGGGAGCGCCAAGATGATTCGCGAGGGCTCCAGGACGGCCCAAGAGGCTCCCCAAGACGGCCCAACAGGGGCCCCAGAGCGGCCCCAAGAGAGGCCCAAGATGGGGAACACGAGCCTACAGTGAACCTACAATTCCAGCCTTCCGCCCCCACAGGCACCCAGGAGGCCCTAAGAGGCCCAGAAGAGGCGCCACGAGGCCCCCAAGAGGCACCCAAGAGGCCCCAAGAGGCCCCCACGAGGCCCGAAAGAGGCCCCCAGATGCTTCCAACGAGGTGCCAACGAACACCCCAGATGACTGTGACACACAGCCGCGGCACCGTGGCAGGGCGGTCCGAAGGCCGATGCATGTGCATATGCATATGTGTATGTATATACATGTGTATGGGAACATGTATATATACATATGTGTATTTGTATATGCATATGTATGTATGCATATATGTATGTATGTATGTATGTATGTATGCATGCATGCATGTATGTATGTATGTATGTATGTATGTGTGTATGTATGTATGTATGTATGTATGTTTGTTTGTATGTGTGTCTGTCTGTATGTATGCATGTATGCATGTATGCATGTATGCATGTATGTTTGTATGTACGTACGCATGTATGTATGTATGTACGTATGTATGTATGTATATAGGTATGTATAGTTTAATTGTACATACACGTGTGTATATGCATAGCAGTGTGTATATAATCATGTATGTACGTGTGTTGTATGTGTGTGTGCATGTATGTGTTTATGTATGTATGTATGCATGCATGCATGAATGTATGCAGGTAGGTAGGTAGGTAGGTAGGTAGGTAGGTATGCATGTATGCATGTATGCATGTATGCATGTATGCATGTATGCATGTATGCATGTATGTATGTATGTATGTATATATGTATGTTTGTATGTTTGTATGTATGTATGCATGCATGTATGTATGTTTGTGTGTATATATATATGAATGCATGTACGTGTGTATGTATGTATGTACGCACGCATGTATGTATGTATGCATGCATGCATGTATATCAGTATCGATATATGTAAAGATGTATGTATGTTTGTATGTTCGTATGGTTGTATGTTTGAATGCATGCATGCATGCATGCATGCATGTATGCATACACACACATATATATATATATATACACCCACGCATGAGGCCCAGGGGCCCAGGGCCCGGGCCCCGACTCCCAGAGCGCCCCGGAGGGGCCGTGGAGCCCCCAGACTGCCCCAGAGAGCTCCAAGACGCTTCCAGAAGCGCCCAGGGGACTTCGACGAGCTCCTCCGAGACAGCCCAGATAGCCCCAACGTGGCCCAAGATGGGCTCCAGACCGGACATGCACAGCCCAAGAGGCCTCCAAGAGGTCTCAAGAGAGCTCCGAGAGGCGTCCCGAGAGTGCCCGAAGAGGCCCACATCCTTGATTTCCTTTTTTTTTTTTGTGTGTGTGTGTGTGTGTGTGATGTTTTTCGTTTTCTCGCGTTTTCGACTTTCCGAAGCTCCAAGACGGCCGGCGACGCCCCCAAGACGGCCCCAAGACAGCCGAAGAGGCCCCCAAAAGAGCCCCAAGACGGCCCCAGGGAGCCCGAAAATTGCCCAGGAGGAGCCCCAGACGGCCCAAGAGAGCCCCAGGACAGGCCCAAGCTGGGTCACAGAGCGGGAGCGGGAGGCCCAAAGGCGCTCCAAGACGGCCCAGATGGCCCCAACGTGGCCCCAGATGGGCCCCGTGTTGGCCAATACACAGCCCAAGAGGCCTCCAAGTGGCCCCAAGAGAGCTCCGAGAGGCGTCCCGAGAGAGCCCGACGAGGCCCACATCCTTGATTTCCGGTGTGTTTTCAATGTGTTTCGCTTTCTCGCTTTCTCGAGCTTCCAATGCTTCAAGACGGCCGAAGACGATCGCCCCAAGACCGCCGAAGAGGCCCCCAAAAGAGCCCCAAGACGGCCCCGGAGAGTCTGAAGACTGTCCAAGAGCAGCCCAAGACTGCCCAAGATAATCCCAGGAGAGGCACAAGATAGGCCCCAGAGCGGGAGCGGGAGGCCCCAAGGCGCTCCAGGACGGTCCAGATGATCCCAACGTGGCCCAAGAGGAGCTCAAGACGGCAAATCCACACAGCCCAAGAGGCCTCCAAGAGGCCTCCAAGAGGCCTCAAGAGGGCTCCGAGAGAGGTCCCGAGAGAGCCCGAAGAGGCCCAAATCATTGATTTGCATTGTTTGTTTGATGTTTTTCGTTTTCTCGCGTTCTCGAGCTTCCAATGCTCGAAGACGGCCGAAGACGCCCCCACGACCGCCCCAAGACCGCCGAAGACGCCCCAAGAATAGCCCCAAGACGGCTTCAGAGAGCTTGCAAATTGCTCACGAGGAGCCCCAGACGGCCCAAGGGGCCCCAGGACAGCCCCATGATGGGCCACAGAGCGGGAGCGGGAGGCCCCAGGGCGCTCGAAGACGGCCCAGATGGCCCGGGCCCCCCCGCTCCGTCCCTCCTTCCCTCCCGCCCTCTCCCCTTGCATTCATTGCCTCCTCTCTCCTCTTGCTCCCCTCACCCCTGAGCTTTTGTGCTCCTCCCTCCTCTCCTGGGACGGCCCCGCCAGAGCGCCAGACAGGCCCAGCCAGAGCGAGCGGGGCATCGCTATACCCTATCATTTCACACGTTGCTTTGCCCATCCCACCCCTCAAGGGCGGCCCTGGCAGAGCGAGAGGGGTGCTGCTATACCATTATACAGTCCCTGTTCTGTCTTGCTCCTCCCACCGCACCCGATGTAGCCCCGTCAGAGCGAACGGGGTGTGGCTATACCATAATTTTCCTCAGGTTTCGTGCTCCTCCCCCCCCTCCTGGGCAAGCCCCGCCAGGGCGCCAGGGAAACCATCGCCAGAGAGACAGAGAAAGAGAGAGAGAGAGAGAGAGAGAGAGCATGGCATCCCTACACTATGTTATTTCATGCGATTCTTGCTCCTCCCACTCTTGCAGGGCGGGCCCGCCCGAGCGAGCAGGGTGTGGCCACACTACACTTTCTCAGGTTTCGTGTCCCTTTCTCACCTCCTGAACGGCTTTGCCAGAACGCCAAGAAGGTACCGCCAAAGGCCCCGTCAGAGCTCCAGGCCGCCCCATGCATGGGCTTTGCCGGGCACACCATTCAGCATCCCCCGTGAGCCCGAACCTTCTGCTCCCACGGGTACGATTATCGCCGGCATCAGGTTTGGCGTCCAGTGCAAAGGAGCTTCCCCACTCCCGTGGACGGACTCGGCAACAAGTGATTTCAGAGAAGGGCGCTGATGACCGGGACGCCTGCAGTCGCCCTCTGCAGATGTCCGACAGCTGAACGACAGCTGAAAACGAGAAGCTTGGAGCACAAGGAAGAGGAACAACAAACAACGCGCTCCCACGCGCGCGCAACGAGGCCCCGAGCCAACCCCAACATCAGGAGCCGGCGGATGTCTGCGTGATCGGGCATGGGGAGACCGAACAAATGTGCAAAAGTATTGAATGTCACGACGGGGCAGAACGGAAGTGAAATTTGATACAAAAGCGCAGTTTGATAAACCAAACACAAGCGGCAGCGAGATTGTGATACGCGGGAACGTGGCGCCCCGCGTTATGACTACGCGTTTCTTTGCGTCGAAGGTATGGGCCCGAAAACGTTGGAAATCGTTGTTGTGGCCGCGGCGAGGCTTGCAGCGGCACCCGTGGCTCATCTGCGACTAGAACTAGAACCACGTGCGCGCGTAGAGCGCGCACGTGGTTCCAAGGTGTATGTGTATATGGATATGTTGTGTATATGATCATGATACCAGGTAAAAAACCCCAATCACATTTTTGTTGGGGCTATGGGGCTAGGACTACGGGGCTACAGGGCAATGGGGCTATAGGGCTATATGGGCTATTTGGCTATAGGGGTATAGTGCTATAGGGCTAATGGGCTATTGGGCTATAAGGGGCTACAAGACTATAGGGCTACATGGCTATTGGGCTATAGGGCTATAGAGCTATAGGGCTATAGGGCTATAGGGCTCTAGAGTTATAGGGGTATCGGGCTCTAGGCCTATAGGGCCATATAGCTATAGGGCTATAGGTCTCTAGGGCTATTGGGCTATAAGGTTGTATGGGCTATATGGGCTATGAGGCTGGTGGGCTACTGGGCTATTGGGCTACACAGCTATAAGGCTATAGGGCCATATGGCTACAGGGTACCTGGGCACCCCCTGGCACTTCCGGGCACCCCCGAGCATCCGGGCAGCCGGGCACCCACGGGCACCCGGGCACCCGGGCACCCGGCCACCGGCCACCGAAATTTTGTGGCACCGGGCACCCACGGGCACCCGGGCACCCGGGCACCCGGCCACCGGCCACCGAAATCTTGCCGCACAAATCCAAACCTTGTAGAATCCGCTAGGACCCCTACAGAGGCAAGCTCTGACTGGGGAATGTTTATGTAAACGTATGCATCCCCTGGACGAGTTTGTCCTTTTGGGCTGGGAACGACGGTTTAAAATTTTGAGCGGACGCGTACGAAACAACCGCTGTCGGATCCCATGATGGTCAAGCGGATCCAATTGTGGTTTTGGTTGTTGTTTCAATGGATCCGGTTTCCGTCCGCGCGGATCCGATTTCGGATTTTCTGCATCCGCGTCCAGCTTTGCTTTTCACGGCGGATCCGACTTTTGACTCGTAGTTTAGAGCGGCGAACTCAACGAAATCGGACCCGCGGACCTCGGAACCCGCCCGTATGGGGGAAGGGGGTTTGGTCATTAACGTCCGAAGATGGGTCTCGTGCTGTCCCGCGCATTCCTCAACCTTCTGCGCGTGGGTGCCCCGTGCAACATTGTTACATTTGTCTCCTCCTGGACGAGGTGCACGCATCCCGCCCATGCGCCGTCCGTTCGGCGGTGTCGATGTTATCCGTCAAACACATGGTCGCCATTTGCACCTCACTCGTTTTTTATTTCTTTGTTTGTTTTCGTCCTGTGCCGATGTATATGTCAATTGTCTATGCCATGTGCGTATCTATGGACATGTACGGATCTATGTATTTGCATGTGCATCTCGATATGTATATGTATATGTGTATGTATGTGTCTGTATATATGTAGATGTATATGCTTGTGTATATGCACATGTATATACATATGCATTTTCATAGATCTGTAGAAGTAGTTGTATGCTGAATGCATACATGTCTATATGCATATGCATATGCAGATGCGTGCGCATATGTATGTGTTTGTGTGTATCTATATGGAAATACTTGCACGTGCATGCGCATATGTATGTGTATATGTATAGCTATATGCACCATGTATCCATGTATGTGTATGCAGATGTGCATGTATGTGTGCATGTGTTGTATTTATGTATGTGTAGGTACGTGTACATGTAAACGTATATGCGTACGTGTAGGTTTATGTATGTTTTTTTTATGCCGATGCACATGCATATGCATATGTGTACAGCTAGCTGTACATCTCCATATATGTATATGTACGTACATGTGTGTATCTATATATATATATATATATATGCCACTTCATCTGCACACGCACACACACATATATATACATATATATATATATATATATGCGTGTGTATGTGTGTCTGTATGTATGTTTGTACGTACGTATGTACGTATAAATGTATGTGTGTTTATATCCGTAAGGGCTTCGCCCCCATGCCGCCAGCCCCCCTCTCTTAGACTGGGACTTGCCAGAGCTGTGTTGGGATGTCTGGACGCTGATGTGAAGCAATGTCGGGACTTCACGCGAGGGCCAATATCAATTTACAAGGGTTTATGGTATCGGCGGCGCGAATATTACGCAATTCACGATGGTGTATAGCTTCGGGGGCGCGAGTATGTGATAACTTACAAGGGTTTGTGGCCTCGGGGACGCAAATATTGTGTACTTTACGAGAGGTTAGCGCTTCGGGGGCGCAACCATTGCATAATTTACAAGGGTTTGTGGCCTCGAGGACGCGAGTATTGTATATTTTGGGAGGGTTTGTGGCCTCGGGGACGCAAGCATGGTGTAATGTAGCCGGGTTTATGGCCTTGGGGACGCGAATATGGTGTAATTTTCGAAGGTTTATGGTTTCGGGGGCGCGATTATTATTTAATTTGCATGGGAATGTTGTGCAATTTGCGAGGGTTTATGGCTTCGGGGACGCGAGTACTGCGTAATTTGCATTATGGTTTCGGGGGCGCGAATCTTGCATACTTTACAACGGTTTATGGCCTCGGGGGCGCGAACATGCCGCTATTTACGAGGGACTATGGCCTCGGGGACGCGAATCTAATGTATTTTTACGTGTCCCACGCCCCCCCAGTAATTCAGACAATGCGATTTGGGGAAGCTAATCAGGATGCTTTTCGGTTCCCCCCCTCGCGCGTTCAGCAACAATTGACAGTAAGGAAGCAGGCATTAAGACTGTAACAGTGGAAGCTGGAAACTGCAACTGGCACAGGGAGCTGCAATCCTCTCCCTCGCAGCCTGGTGGCCCCGCAAGGGGGCCGGCTGGTATATTTGTATGTAGGTCGGTATGTTTGTGTGTGCAGGTGTGTCTGCTAGTATGTTTGTATGTTTCTAGGTTTGTATGCCTATTCGTATGTATGTTTGTATGTAGCGTGCGTGCATGTATGTATGCATAGTTTTTATGTTTGAACGTATGTTTATATGTATGTATGCATGCATATATGTTTGTATGTATGTATGTGTGTACGTAATGTATGTATGTATGTACGTAGGTAGGTAGGTCGGTAGGTAGGTATGCATGTATGCATGTATGCATGCATGTATGCATGCATGCATACATACATGCATGCATGCATGCAGGTATCTATATTTTTTTTATGTAGATATACATATGCATGTACATACACACGTACAAGGGGTTGTGTGCTGTACCCACCCACAGCATTCCCCAGCATCCAAACGCGTCTCCTCCTCGACGTCGTCCTGCCCCCTTCGTCTTCCCCTTTCCCTCCTCTTGCTCCGTTTCCTTCATCCTCCTCCTTCCCTTCCTCCTCGTCATCCTGGTCCACGCCGTTTCTCTTTCTTCTTCCGTCCTCCTCTTTTTCATCCGCCCCTGCGTACTCTGCCGCCTCTGCTACTCTCCTCCTCCTCCTCCTCCTTCTGTTTTTCCCCTCTGCCTTGCGCCTGGTCTAGCGCAGGTTGGCGTTCAGCTGGGCGTGTTTTCCTGGCGCGCTACGGGCGTACGCTGGCCGCAGTACCATGCTGGCGGGGCTCAGGTGTCGGCCGCCGCATGGGCTTGGGGAGGACCCATCGTCCGCCGCTTGACCAGTGTTCATGGTCTTGCGGCGGTTTCGAGTTTCGGAAACGGAAGCGAGATGTGGTGCGGTGTTTGCCTTGCCGTCTGGTGGCGGCCAGGGCCTTCTTCGGCGGGTGGCTCGGCGTGCCTTGGCGGCATTGGTTAGGCCCGTCGGGCTGTGCGGCGCGGCCGCCAATGCTTTGGGGGCCAACCCATGCCATGCCATGCCCACTCTTCTGCCTGCTGCCCTCGTCATCGTCGCTGTCCTGCTCTGGAGCTTCTCTCCTTCTCCTCGACTTCGAGGTCCCTTCCTCATCATCCTCGTCGCCATCATGGATATCTCCGTGCTCCGGGAAGGGCTGTACACAACCTATGCTTGGAACGTCATTGATTTTCAGTCATCTCCGAAGTCACAGCCCACCCATAGAGATCATCATACGCGTTGTCACAATCATGAATGTCATGATCACGGGCGTGTTCATCACCGCCACCGTCAGCATGAAAATTGTCGTCCCCATACTCCTTTTATCGTCGTCATCATTTTCACTATGATCACCATTGTAATTTCCGTCGTAATCATTTCCTGCATTGCCAGTCTTACCATCATCGTGGTACTTATCGTCATCATCGCTAGCAGCGGCTTGATGATCGCCCCATGCTTGTCATCATCCCGATCGTTGTCATACACATCGTCGTCGACATCACCATGGTAACCATCCTCATCATACGATTTTACAGACCCACCCTTACGCACTGCCCCCGTCCCCCGTAGAATCTTAACACGGGGGGGGCCTGCGGTCGACGGATCCCATTCTGGTCGGTTCCCGGAGCGAATTTAATATCATAAATTCAAAACGGGGTAGAAATTGGATCCGCAGTAGCAAATAGGGTCGGACCCGGAACCCGAAAATCAGAAATGGGATCCGCGCGCACGGAAATGGGATCCGCCGCGATTTCACGATTACGGTAAGGTTGGAAATCGGATCCGTGCGACCTTCATTGGGTTCGCCGCTATGATTTCCCAGAGGGCCCGTGCACCGCGTGGGACCGTGAGGTTCAGCACCAACAGGAAAAAACTTTCGGCCTGGGGATGTTGTCGTTTAAATCATCATCATTCCCGTACTCGTCAGCAGTCGTACCGTCGGCATCGTCGTCTGGGTAGGGCCAGGGGTGAGCAGCGGCCGGGCCAGTGGGGTAATCTTCGGGCCGAAGTCACATCCGACACCGTAGCTCAACCGGCTACACTTAACTGCGAGCTGAGATTCAAGCAAAAAACAAAACAAGGAAAAACAATAATCAAAACCGGATTTTCAAACATACAAAAATTGCGAGCTGGGATTCCAGAGAATTTGAGCGCGCGCGAAGCGCGCGCGATGGTTCTAGTTCTTGAATCACGCTGGGAGCCAGTGGTCTGGGGAGGTTTGCTTCCTTGGGGCCCGCTGCACCTCGCGATCATGGAGCCAAGCATCAGCCATAATCACAGCTGGACTCAATCGGCCTGCAGGGGACCTGATGGGGAGAGAACAGATTCGAATCCTCGGAGGCGAGTGCAACGGGGTGGCGCCAGGGGCGCGGCCTGTCAACAAGCCGGAGGGCTTCCTGAAATGCAGAAAAGCCTTCTTGGAGAAGCCCCGGAGGCTCTGCAGAAGGCTGCTGGAGGCCGGGCGGGCCTCCAAGAAGCCCCCCCGCTGCCCTCCTGGAAGCCTCGCCGCCTGCTCACAGGGCCGCTCTCCTCGCGCCTCCCCCTTCTTGGGCGCCCTCCCCCCATCTTGCATGGGGAGAGACTGGCTCGGGGGGTGGGCATGGACTTCCCATCGCCAATCTCTGAGGCCTAGAGTCGACTACACGTACGAGTGACCTTTCGCCAGAGTGACCTTTGGTGCGGGCCCAAGGGCCCCCCCCGATCGCCGAACGCGATGCTGTATTAGCTGTATTAGCGTCTTGCATGGGGAGAGACCGCTCAGGGGGTGAGCATGGACTTCCCATCGCCAATCTTAAGTCGGGCCTGTCCCCCTACAGGGGGAATGTTCAAAAATAGTCAAAAAATAGTCCAGGGACTATTTTTTGAATATTTTTGATCATTTGGGAATATTTTTTGAGAAATTTATATTTCGTCGAAAATCCCCTTGTGCAGTTTTAGAATATTTCCCAACCATCCTGTGGTGTTGGGTCCTCGTTTTGAAGAGACGGTCCCCGCGTTTCTCTTCTCCTCTCCTCCTCCCCCTCCCCCTCCTCCCCTCCCTCCTCCTTCTTCCATGCGTTTCACCAACCCAGCACAGCGTTTCGTGGCCCCATAGGGAGCTCCGCCGAAGCCCCCACTGGGACCGCCCGCATGCGTCCGCCACCACCCAGCACAGCCCTTGCTCCCTGCGTTTCACCCACCCAGTACACCGTTTCGTGGCCCCATAGGGAGCTCCACGGAAGGTCCCAGTGGCACCGCCCGCATGCGTCCGCCACCACCCAACACGGCCCTTGCTCCCTGCGCAGTACGGCGTTTCCCCAGGGGGTTGTACCGAAGGTCCCAGTGGCACCGCCCGCATGCCCTTGCGGCCCTTGCGTTTCACCCACCCAGTACGGCGTTTCCCCATAAAGGGGGTTGTACCGAAGGTCCCAGTGGCACCGCCCGCATGCGTCCGCCATCACCCATCACGGCCCTTGCTCCCTGCGTTTCGCCCACCGAGTACAGCGTTTCGTGGCCCCATAGGGAGCTCCACCAAAGGTCCCAGTGGCACCGCCCGCATGCGTCCGCCACCAACCAGCACAGCCCTTGCTCCCTACGTTTCGCCCACCGAGTACAGCGCTTCGTGGCCCCATAGGGAACTCCACCAAAGGTCCCACTGGCACCGCCCGCATGCGTCCGCCACCAACCAGCACAGCCCTTGCTCCCTGCGTTTCGCCCACCGAGTACAGCGTTTCGTGGCCCCATAGGGAGCTCCACCGAAGGTCCCAGTGGCACCGCCCGCATGCGTCCGCCACCACCCAGTACAGCCATTGCCCCCTTCGTTTCACCCACCCAGTACAACGTTTCGTGGCCCCATATGGGGGCTCCACCGAAGGTCCCAGTGGCACCGCCCGCATGCGTCCGCCACCACCCAGTACAGCCATTGCTCCCTGCGTTTCACCCACCCAGTAGAGCGCTTCGTGGCCCCATGGGGGGCCCCACCCAGGGTCCCAGTGGCACCGCCCGCATGCGTCCGCCACCACCCAGCACAGCCCTTGCTCCCTGCGTTTCACCCACCCAGTACAGCGTTTCGTGGCCCTATATAGGGGGCTTTACCGAAGGTCCCAGTGGCACCGCCCGCATGCGTCCGCCACAACCCAGTACAGCCATTGTTCCTTGCGTTTCACCCACCCAGTACAGCGTTTCGTGGCCCCATAGGGAGCTCCACGGAAGGTCCCAGTGGCACCGCCCGCATGCGTCCGTCACCACCCAACACGGCACGGCCCTTGCTCCCTGCGTTTCACCCAGTACAGCGTTTCATGGCCCCATAGGGAGCTCCACCGAAGGTCCCAGTGGAGCCGCCCGCATGCGTCCGCCACCACCCATCACACTTGCGGTATTCACAACTGCATATGGTTTGGTCCTTCGCCAGGCTAATTTTTGTCGTGGAAGATCCCCCTGTAGGGGGACACGCCCGACTTAACGCCAATCGGAGGCCTAGAGGTTGACACCGACACCAAGATAGGCGGGGGGCCTTCACCGAGGAAAGGTGCTCCCGATCTCGGTGGTGGTGGTAAGATTCGGGCTTTCTAAGTGGCCGACCTATTGCCACCAGCACCGAAACCTCGGATCATCTGACCCCTGTGGAGGCAGCCCCCTGCGTTGGTGTTGGTGCCCGTTCCCAGGCCTCCCACAATGCCTCGCCGATCTCGGCCCGGGCGCCCTGGCCCGCCCGGAGCGCGGGGCCTCCCCATCGGAGGGGGGGCTCATCCCCGAGCTGTTGGCGATAAGCAGTCGATTCCAAGTCTTTGCCCCCCCCTCCTAGGCACGTCTCCCTCTTTCGGCTGCACTCACACTGCTCTTGCTGCAGCTCCTCCTGTGAGGCATCAAAGACTACGGGCGTGCATCGAAGAAAAAGGCCTCTCCAGCCGTCCGTGCATGTCAGGATCGTGCAAGCGCAGGCATACACAGTTCGAGGATCGTTTCGAGCATGTTCCGACCTACAGTCATCCGCTTCGATCGTGCGAGAGAACCGCGCACATGCTGCGGCCGCCACGATCCTGCACAGCCATCACGGTCTTATCCTCCTGTGTGCCGCGGAATTGTGGCAGCAGTGTGGAAGCTCGTGCCGATTCAACTGCCCATTCCGCAACATGATTCTTCACGCTTCGCGAGCCCCACCACCTCATCTAGAAACGATCCTCAGGCGGGTTGCTTTTATAATGGAAGTGCCTTGGCATCGCTCGGACGTGTGCATTTTTCCTTCGGCGAGGGCCATCGAGGAGCATCCTTGATCCACGCACGAAACCGAAAAAAGCACAGGGAATGGACGTCCGAGCGACGGCGAGATCATCTTGAGCTATCTTGAGTGATCCTGAAGGCCACCCTGGGATGTCTGGGTCCGTCCTGGGGTCCTCCTGGGGCCCACACGCACCCTCCGACACCTTTACGAAACCCTCCGTCCAGCTCCGGGGCGAGCCCCCGGAGGGACGGCCGTCTCGCTCGCTCTCGCCCGCCCTCCCGCCACATCTAGTAGCACCCGCGAGTCCCTGCGTGGGCAGCGGCCGCCCTCGATAAGCATCGGGGACCGGTGCAGACGCCAGCCAGGTGCGCGATGCCCGCGAGGCGTGCCGAGCGTGCCCAGGTGCGCCACGGTTGCCAGGGTGCGCCATGGGTCCAGTCGTGCCGGGTGCGCTTGCTGTGCCAGATGCGCCATGTGCTCCACGTGCGCCCAGAGTGCCACGTGCTCAATCGCGCCAGGTGCGCCACATGCGCGTCGCGCGCAGAGTGCGAAGGGGTGCCAGCGCACGTCACAGCACATATCGGGCAGTCTGTCGCCCCCCCCCCCCCCCGCCATCCCTGTCAAAACCCACCGCAAATTGACGACGAGGTTGCCAGCAGTGTGCAGCTGTGTGCACCCGCAGTCACGTTGCCCTTGTTGTCGACGAGGACGGTGGACCTGCGCGCAGCGGGCGACAACCCCGCCGTACCTGGCACACGCGCACACACACACACACACACCATGCCAAACGATCGCGGGGCGACTGGCCCGTTCTTGTTCGGGCGCGCCTTGAACTTCCGGATTGCGTTCTTTCCTCCTGGTTTCCGGTCCCCTGGAGCGTGTTTCTTCTTTGCTTGGGGCACACTGGGCATCATAGCCCCCGGCCCCGCGTCCCCCCCCCCCTATCACGTAACGCCCCTCCCCCCCCCCCAGTGCGCTCCAGGCACTGCCGCCGTGCGCACGGCGGGGGGGAGGCGTTACATGATGCCCCCCCCTGGCCTCCCCCTCTACACCCTCGGCGATGCTTAAGAAAACCTAAGTTTTCGTCGAGAGTCTCGATTATTCTTAACGTTTCAATGTAAATCCCAAGATTTTGATAGAAATGTTTGGTTTTTGTCCAAGCTCTGAGACTATGAATTTCTTAACCCATGGTTTCTTAAGCATTTCGCAGGGTGTATGATGCCCATGATCGCCGAACATAAAGACGCGCGCTCCTGCCGTAGCCCATGGGGTCCGGGCCTCGCCTCTCGCCGTGGGGGGTGGTCGGGCCCTGACGATGGCTGCCACGGGAGGTGGTCGGCCCGGCGTCGGCCTCGGGCTGCGGCCGCCCACGGCGGGCTGGTCGAGGAGTTTGTTTTTGCGTGCAGCAGCGCGGGAACTTTGGGTCGGTTGGGCGAAGATTCTGGGAGATTTGAACATTCGTTTCGAAAGCCGGTAGTTTTCGCACCTGTAGTGGGTTATGCCGCGTCTTCCAGTGAATTTCTCAGGTCCGTAGCTGCAGTATTGCTATCAAAACACTTGACGCAACCGACTTTGCATGAAAACGAAACTGGGCTCTACAGAGGGACGGCTTGGGACGGTCGGGTTCCACCTCCGTAGCTTCGGAGGCCTAGAGGTCGACACGAACATCAGTATCGGCGGTCTGCCTCCACCGAGAGGGTTTGATCGCGATCTCGGTGGTGGTGGTGAGACTCGCGCTTCCCAGCGGGCCGAAGTATTACCACCAACGCCAGAGTCTAGTGTTATCTTCCCCCAGTGGAGGAGCCCTCTGTATTGGTGTTGGTGCCCATTCCCCAGCTTCTAATAGATCTGGCAATCTCCTTGGTAGGTTCACAAAAAACGGCATCAAAATGATCTTTTGGCTGTCCGCGCGGATTTCTTGGATCTGCGCTGGGCCCCCGAGCGGCGCCTCCGGCGCCGCCCCTGGCGCGCTCCGCGCGCCAGGGACCGGGGTCCAGCGCAGATCCAAGAAATCCGCGCGGAGCGCAAACAGTTTATGTTCATGCCGCGCGTTCCACGACTTGCAAAGTCGCAGGCGTCCGACAAAAAACGTTTGCCTCGATGTGGTGGGTCGTGGAGCCTCCGTCGCTGATCCAGGCCCTCTGCGAGTAGTGACTCTGCGAGTAGTGGAACGCGCTTGACGAGAAGAGTCGATGGCGGCGGTTGATCGTTTCCAGCGTACTCTGGTGGTGACACTCGTGGTATCTCCGCCTCGTTCTTCTGGAGGCGTCTCCTGCTCTGTGGGGTCCTCGTACTTGCGCCTGCCACGGTTCTCGGTGTTGATGTCCTCCCGCATCGAGCCGTCGACCTTCGTTGGCGTTGCGCAGCTGCCCGGGGGAGCACTCCAGGATTCCTCCGTGATATGAGCACCACACCGTGTTGGCCATCTCCATTTGGATGACCCTGGCAGGGCCATGCCACGAATTGATGGGCAGCCTGTCAGTGCTGCTGCGCTAGGCATCGCACCGATCCCCGGCAGAAGCGATGCCCCGCGAGGCGGTCGGGCCCATCGGTGGAGAGCCCGACGCCCCTCTTCGGAACGCCCCGCCTCGGTGTAAGCTGCCGTGGCCGCTTCACGCGTGTTGATGCCCCTCGCTAGCTCGGTGTCTTCTTTCACAGCGCGGGGTGGAGTGGACAGACTTGGTGCCCCTTTCTTCTCCAGAGTCTTCTTCGCCGCGCTGACCAAGCCGACGAGCTCGTAGGCCTGCCACGGCGAAGTGGCACTGGTCACCTTCACCTCCGTCCCGTCACCCTCGGCTGCATCTGGAATCGCCCAGCAGCGAAACCATTCCTGCCGGCGATCACCATGATCCTCGGGGTACGCTGGGGGCGTTGATAAAGGAATGTGCCCAGGAGGCTGCAGACCCTGGAGGATTCTTCATTTGATGAGGGCGGCGGTGGTATCCATGGCCAAGCCTCAATTGGAGTTCTGCCGGCCTCCAGATCCTGGACTCCTTAGCTCCCCGAGGAGGCGGCGCGTGAGGTCTATGACACGGCAGAGCAGCACCTTGTCGAGGTGTCCCAGATCCAGCAGAGCAGCTCGCACTCCCGTGGACGTTCCCGCGGAGTGCGCAGGGTTCAGATGTGCTTGAAGGACCCGTAGTGCACCGAGACGGTCAGGACGGTCAGCCCGCTCGTGCCACTGGATCTCGCTGGGCAGGCTGGCGCGCCAGCTGACCGCGGGCGCGGCGGTGTTGGCGCCGTCAGCTGGAGGCAAGGCCTACATGCAGCACCTGGAGGAGACCGCCCTCGCTCAGGTGCCGAAGTTTTCCCAGCAGGGCTGCAATCTGCTGTCTGGCGCGAGCATGCGGCTGCTGCTTGACGAAGCGAGAGTGTCCACGAGTGCTGGCAGCTTCTTCCGCGGTGCCATAGATGCTGCCATTGCCAACCACGCCAGGTCGGACGCACAGCTCGTGCGGCGGCGCTGGTCGGAGTTCGTGGACGACGCCCTAGCCGCTGGCGGCCGCGGAGCGCACGCGGTCAGCAAGCAGGAGAACGCTGAGCAGACTTCGGTGCTCGAGGATGCGGGTGCTGATGCAGTGCCCCCTCCTGCACCATTGGCTGGGCAGGCTGCCCTGGACCAGGCACGGCTGGAGTGGAAGCACCTCTGGGTCGACAGGAGTGCCCCCAATGCGCCCGAGCTGAATGCAAGTCCAAGATAGGGGAACCAAAAGTGACATAAACATAACAATTCGGAGGTCCGCGCGGATTTCTCGGATCGGCGCTGGGGCCCCCCGGCGGCGCCTCCGGCGCCGCCCCTGGCGCGCTCCGCGCGCCAGGGAGGGGGGTCCGGCGCCGATCCGAGAAATCCGCGCGGACCTCCGATTTTTTTTTGTTTATGCCACTTTTTATTTCCCTACAAGAGAGTCCACCCCTTCGCCGAGCTGGTCGGTGCCGCCTTGGGCGGGGAGGGCTTCCACCCGCGCCTGCGGCTGCTGCTTGGCCGGCCCTTCGCGGGACCGCGCGGCGGAGCTGCTGGCGGCGCGGGAGCGCGGCCCCAGACCCGCTGGCCTCCTCGCCACGCTGGTCGTGATCTCTGCAAAGCCCGATGGAGGCAGGCGGCCCATCATCAGGGGAACAAGAAGTGGCATAAACATAAAGACTCGGAGGTCCGCGCGGATTTCTCGGATCGGCGCTGGACCCCCCTCCCGGGCGCGCGGGGCGCGCCAGGGGCGGCGCCGAAGGCGCCGCCGGGGGGGTCGAGCGCGGATCCGAGAAATCCGCGCGGACCTCCGGGTTTTTATATTTATGCTACTTTTGATCCCCCTAAGCATGCTGACGGCCTTCTCGGTGCGCCTCGGGGGCCGCATTCGGCGGCGGTGCTGCGTCAAGCGAGAGGCCCATAATGAGCTGCCAGAGATGTGGGGAAGCAGCGCGGACACAAGCTGCGATTGGGCCGCCTACCTCCACACCCCCTACCTCGGGATGGCTCGATCGAGAAGGTTCGAGGGCGCCTCTGTCTACTTCGACATCGGCGATGCCGCGGAAGGAGTGGTTACCAGGCACATCCCAAAGCACGCGTCTGAGGAGGCGGTCAGGCGTGAGGAGACCAGTGCTCTGGAAAAGGACGGTACCCGCTTTGCAAACCTGCGTGCCAAGCTGGGTGCCAGCCTGAACGCAGCAGACGATGGTGATGTGTTGATGCTGGAGGGCCTGTCGGCCCGAGCCAGAGAAGCGGCGAGGTGCCCTGCGGAGATCGAGGACCGCCTCAAACTTCGG